TCCGCGAGCTTCCTCGTTTGAAGCTTTGCGATGGCAAGATACTGTTGATCAATTGTGAGGTGTCGCTCGGTCTCATGATATCAAAACGTGAAGAGCATGATGAAGAGGACTGCTTCAATACCGAGTGTAATTGAAGCAGGAAAAATATTTATGGATCAAAACAAATGTTGCAAAATGCTGTAAATTTAGGTGGGGTCAAAATAAGTTCACCTACAAAGGTGAAACTTGGAACCAATAAAGATTTAAAGATGTTGATGAAAACACACTTTTAGTTAGTTGAAGATTCAGTCAGGTTTAATTAAAGTTTACAAAACCCTCCCCCCCAAAAAACATACATTATGATTGAAGATTTAATTGCCTTTAATCTTGACAAAAGCGTCATTGAAATCCTCTTGAGTGTGTCCGAAAAACTTTGGTTCATCTTCAATGTTTACAAAAACACTTCGGATAGCTTCGATGACGACCAAATGGTCTTTGCTATGTGCAAAAAACCCACAGACTGTACGTTAGACTCAGCGAACCAACTCCAAATTCGACGTATTTGTTCAAATGATCTCTGAGCTCTCACGTCGTCTTAATATGAATTCCCGGTCGGGGGGAACTGCAATTTAAAACCTGTGACTATGGCCCACATATTCTTTCTTCTTCTCTGACATTTTGTATTTCTCCTGACACGCTCACCTTGTGCCCACAACAGCCGACATCAATGACATGAAGATCAGCTACGTCTTGTTGGATGGAAGCAACGCCACCAGCGACATCTTCTACTTCACCGTTGAGGACAACGGTAAGAAGCGTTTCAATCGTTACCTCGAAGCGGCTGGTTTTTTTTTTTTTTTTAACCTAAAAAACAAAGTCAGTCTCACCCAAGTATTTGCATCATAAAGACTGAGGGCAGTTGGCCGTGACTGACACCCGATATAGAGCCGCCGTCTTACTTTCAGGCGGGTTTAAAGGACGTCGGGTTGGGGGTTGGGTCAAGGGGCCACTTGAGCCAAAAAGGTGACAGCGACTCAGAAAAAGCGACGGACAGTTGAAAGGCCCGATGGCTTAGGTAGAGTCCCCACCTGACTTTTTAAGCCACGCATCCGCTTTGGCAAAGTTGGCGCACCCCCTCTCTAGAACACGCACCCTTAAGAAAACATTAGAAAATTCATTTCGTTGATGAAAAGTAAAGCACAGTTGGTTGCAAAAATGATCTCCATACAAATGATTTTACATTGTACCCGATGTTTATTTTGGATTTTAAAAAAAATCCTTTTTGAAATTGCTTTTTCAATCATTCTAATGAGCAAGGTAAATGTTTATATTCCATTTAGACAAATCAATAAGAGAAGAAAAGAACCACCATAAATCTATCTCCCTTCAGAATATCATTACAAGTTGCGTGTGTGACGTTACGAGTCACAGTACCTTCTCTATGTGTTGTAATTTGAGAGTTTGAAATGGCATTAATATCCATACATAAATGATATGGATTTTATATATATATATATATATATATATATAGAGAGAGAGAGAGAGAGAGAGAGAGAGAGAGAGAGAGAGAGAGAGAGAGAGAGAGAGAGAGAGAGAGAGAGAGAGAGAGAGAGAGAGAGAGAGAGAGAGAGAGAGAGCGAGCACAGGCTGGACATTGAAAAGTGACAGGTGGCCTTCGCTAATTTAGTTGCAACTCGCGTAGTATGCAAAACAGTTCAGACCAGTGCTGTAGGGAAAGTTGAATTTGTCAGTGTTTAGCATTAGGGGCCATCTATTGTTTCATGCACGCTTCAATAAGGGGTCTGCGGCGCTAACGCTAATTGCTATAGGGTCGACCATTCGCTCTGGAGCGAAACGTCACTCACAGCTACCACTGAGACGAAACCCGAACTAGTAGGACAGATAAAGTTAAAATTACAGTTGACCTCCGCTATTTGGGGAAGAGCAAAACTCAACGTAGAAATGACGGCCATGGAGTGGGGGATAATTATTCATTTATTTAAATTATTTTTCAAAAATAATAATAAATTAACAAATATATATTTCTTCAAAAACTGCTGCGTCCAGTCAAGGAATGAGAGAGGGAGTTGGATGAACATTCGAGGGACAAAAAACACAGCAAAACAGTGTAGAAGCTGAATAATTGGACACCTGGATAATTGGACACCGTCTCACAAATAATCACACACGTCCGGCAGATAGGAGCGAAAAAGGCGGAGAGTGGAGAGGTTGAAGGTATTTGGGACGTGAACGGACACGCCATTGGTCAGTTTGTTCACCAGCAAGCTCCAAAGTCTCAAACAAGGACCTTAAAAGCTACATCACGCAAGACCTGAGAAAATTAGACGAGTCAAGACATTGATGAAAACTTCGGAATCGAAGTTGCTATTTGATTTATTCTTGTCATTTATTTTGAGTGTTAATAAATAAAACAGGAAATGGGAAAAAAAAGTTGGAGAATTTTATTTTTACAATTATTTTTTTTAACCTGTGCACACCCCGTCCTGAATTTTCTATTCTGAAGAAATAGATTTTAAATAAATTTGTAAAAAAGGAAAAACGCACTGAAGATGAAAAAAAAAATTATGGATACTTTTATTGTTCTACGTGTTGCGCACCCCGATCCAAGTTTCTCTTTTTTATTTAGATTTTTTAAAAAGTTGAGTTAAAATCTTAAATAAATAAGTAAAGGCATACACTTAAGACTATTAAAAAAAAAAACATCTGATTTTTGTAATGTGAATCGATCAGAACCGCTTTAGCGTCACTCCACTCACACACACTCACAGCGAAAGACAATTTGGAGTGATCAACCTACCGGCGGATGTATTTTTAAAAATATAATTGAGGGATGGGATAAAAATACTGTATGACCTTGCAATAATCTGTTAAGCCGTGAGGGGAAAACTTTTTTATTCATTTAAATTTTGAATGTCGCACATTTTTAATCTTGGATGATCCTGTTCATTTTCTTCAATTAAATTGTCGCTTTTTTTTGTCGTTGTGGTTGATTACTTTAAAGTTTTGATTTTGACGAGGGAAAAATGTAAGTGAAGAAATAACGTAATCATAAAGTTTAAAAAAACTGCTCAGATGTGCCTTCAGGCCACACATGCAAACTGATTGATACACACACTTCCTCTTAAATCATGTAGATACCTTCTGATTATTAAGTGTGGCATTTTCATGAGAGAGGAGGTGTGTGCTGGTGTGCGATGCCCTCCGGCCAAGTGTACCACGAAAGCCATAAATAGTTGCGAATGCAGACTGTGGCTCCGTCCATCCGACATGAGGCGAAGGAAGGCGCCACAGGCGAGAAGTTTTCCTTACTTTTTAACATGTTCAGACATTTCCTTGCCCTTTTCACATCAACCCTTCAAGCTCTGGAAGCGTGTCACGTCTTCAGGTCCCTGACCTCCATGCACAATTGGATCTGTGCTTGTTTATTATAGCAACAAAGCCGGCCATAGATTTATGACCCGGGCAGCAATCAGACGGGACCGACAGTTTGTTCGATTTTAATTCATTACATTTTAATTTTATTGTGATGTAAATTAAACATTATCACAGATCTTTTTTTTTTTTTTTAATGTTTTAGTCTTAATTTTTGCCCCTGACCTACATGCACAATGGGATCCGTGATTGTTTACTTTAGCAACTAATGCAGCCATTGATTTAAGACGATAGATTTATGAACAAAAGGACACATTTTTTATTTTTATTTATTTAACTTTCTCTAAATTTTTATTTTTGCTGCCTATTTATAATGATCCAAAAAGTTAACCAAAATAATATAATTTTTTTTTTAAAGGAAAATAGAATTTAATTCAATGTTGGTATTATTACTACTACTAGTCTCCAATAACATTCTTTTTTTTTTTAAATACTATTCGATGCAGCTCTTTGGACATTGTATGTCATTCCCTTGTACAGTTGTTGCCAAAGTTATGGTGTAGCTCAGGTCTGGTTCTGCACAAGGTTCAGGGGGGTTCAGAGGGATCCGGGGTGGATGGGTGTCATGTGATCACCAAAAACCAATATAGGAATGCACTTCCTGCGAGACTCGAGACTCCAGGGCCACAGACAGCACAAGGCCTGAAAGTTGAATGCTATCCATGGGGATCCTCTTTCAAAGGCCGACACCACATTATTGCGGCCCCCCTCTCCCTCCCGCCATCCCATTTGCTTGCCCCTCTCCCCAAAAACCATTCTCTCCGAAGACCACCTCAGGGCCGTTCTTCTTCTTCTTCTACTTCATCATAATTTCTGCACCTTTTCTTCCCTCTCGCCACCCTCAACTTTCATCCTCCCTTTCTGCGGTCCTGATTTATTGAAGGTGCGGCGTCGTGATGAATGCCCTGTGGGTTATTCTTATCTGCTCTCATGTGACGCGTGGCCCGGCCAACGTGTCACTGAGACGCCCCCACTTGAATCGCATAAGTCGCATTTCTTTGATAATCATCCTCTGTTACTGTGTGTGTGTGTGTGTGTGTGTGTATATTTATTTATTTTTAAATAGGAACTGTATATTATAGTCAGTAAAATTTTTTTTTCAAGTCACTTGTTGCTAGGCAGAGTTTGTACTGCACCATCATGAGTGTTTTATGAGTTCATAAAAAAGGGAACACGCTTACTAGGGGCTGAGGGCGTCAAGATAAGGACATTTTTCCCCAAAGCGGCATGACATGTACTGTGACGCCAATTTATCCACATTCATTTCTCATTTCCAAACATCTGATCTGGTAGACATGGCGGTTCCTATTCTTGTTCCAGTCCCACCTGCGTTCGTTCGCTTGTTGCTAATGAAAAATCAAATGCAGGAGGATACTAAAGACACACAAGGAGAAAATCATCCCCAAAACAACAAAAGCTCAATTATGACTTCCACATAGGCCAATGAAAAAAAATGACATCAGGGAACTACACCTACTGTGGCCTCCTGATATCACAAGGACAGGAAGAAGCTCATTGCATACACACTAGCATGGCTAATGGCAACCCCAGATCGCCTTTTTTTCGAGACTTTTATTTTTCAATTAGTGGACCAACCAGGATATCTTATGTTGTGTTAGCATCAGTTAGCTAAAGTTACCATTTGGAGATGTGCTTATTTGGAGGCGCTTTGCTGTAAAACCGACAAGTTAGCATTTAGTATTTTAGCAAACATGGCTACCAAGCTCACGAATTAGCACAAAACTGGTGGGAATTCTGTCAGCGGGCTGGTCAGATCAGACTCGGGGTGGGGGGAGGTCTTGCAAATTACAACAAAAGAAGTCACAGGAAAAAGGGGGGACTTCTTCCAGGGACTCTCCCAGAGCAAAAAAAAAAAAAAAAAACACGGCCCACCCACATTGCACAGGGGGCTTTGGGTACAGCTGTCACTCCACATTGTAGTTGTGCTCGAAGCGGACCAGAGTTTTGGTGACTTTACTGAGTGACAGCCACCTGTTGCTAGGCAGAGTTGGTGGGGCTCAATCAAAATTGCCCCTTCGGGCGACGTTTAACTGCCAGCCAAGAAATGTGGCTTTTGAGGAACTGGTCCCTCTTCCAAATACCCCCGGCTTCGGCCCTCCAATGGTTTCGTTCTGCTCAGTTCACATAGCAGAACGGCTGCGGTCTCCTTCAATGCTGAGATAACTTGCTCTTTGTCCACCGTGTCCATTTGTGATAATGAAGGCCAAATCCAACCTACCGGTATTTTTTCGGGGAAAGTTTTGGGCACGATTTTTGGAAACAAAAAACAAACAAACAAAAAAAAAAGCAAACAAATAAAAACGCTTTTCTTGTAAATGTACCGGTAAGCCTTTTTTCTTGTAAATGTATGCTTTATTATTACAGTATTTTTTTACAATGCTATTATTGTAACATTACAATCCTACTTTTGGTAATTCTATGAAATGTATTCCTCAAGTATGACCACTTTATTCTTATAAATTTTTGTTATTGGTTCTACTTTATTCTGGTCAAGCTGTGATGTTATTTTTCTATACATGACTTCATTATCGAAAGTTCTCAAACCATTAAAACAAAGATTGAATGATGAAAAATGTAATATAAAAATATATATTTTGCATGTCCACTATAAAGCTTTTCATCTTCCTCATGGCAAGGAAGAAGAAATCTCAGTTTTGGTCCTCATTCAGTCTTTCGCTGGTTCAAGAGGTCCGTTGTCAGCGTGAGCAGCGATGTGCAACTAAAATGACCCCCCCACCTAACCTCGCTAAGCCAAAGACGCCACTGACCGTAACCTATTCCACATCAAAAGTAGCAGGTCACCCGGAGAGTTATCTCACCATGTTTTTTTTGTTTTTTTTTTTTTAATGACAGAGGGCCGATAATCTTAAATATCTCACTGGCTCTCGGTCAGTGCTTGAAAGGGATTACCTCCGGGGCTTGACATAGTTTCAGGTGTTTTCTCTTAAAAAGCTAAGCCCTGTAGCTGTATCTTAAACTGGAAGTCAGAAATTGAGAAAAGAAAAAAAAAATCATAAAATTGCGAGAATTTGTTTAAACTACTATGACAAGAAAGTTTTAAATTTATGGTAAGATGTAGAGGTAAAAAAAATGTAAACATGACACATCAAGCTGAATAAGTAATGGTAGAAGTATAAAAATTGAGTTTTAAGGTTTCCATAGATTTTTTGCCAGAAAACGGTCAAAACTATGATGAGATCCAAAGTTTTACAATAATTGAGTTGGAGGACTTTTCTTTTTCTTTTTTTTATATATAAATTGGACACAGATTAAGATGAATAAATTACGGATATTACAAAAATCAATCAAGTCAGAATTACAAGACCCAAGTCAAAATAGAGAAAAAAATCAAACTGAAAAATTCTTCAAAAAGGTGGCAAGTGTGCTCGCTTCAAGCTTTTACTGCCACTCTTAATTAAAGTTTACAATCAAAATAAAATTGTAACAAATACAGTATTATTATATGTATTTAACCAAAGCCTTACTAAAGTGTCTTACTAAAGTCTGCTAGCTTCATGCTAGCATATAATGAGAAAGACCATGTACAGGCTAATGAAACAAGCATTGATTTCAGGACGGATTTATGTCTGTATGCATTAAACAGCCCCCAAGTGGCCAAGGCATGCACACCAGAAGGAGCAGCACAATGCTCATGAAATGGTCTTGATGCCCAAATTGCATAATTCTTTAAATTTTATGCAATGATCTTATTATTGTATGTTTTTATAACATACCATACTGTAGTGTACTATTGTCTGTATTAACATTGTAGTTTCAAAAAGAAATGTTTTTTTTTTTTTTTTGGTGGGCTCGGAGCGGATTACTGTAATCACATTTCCTTACCCAATTCTCAGGCTAAAGACAAAGCCCGAGAATCTCAAGCGTGTACAGCGCAGTAACATGAACGGTAGCCATTACACGAAAGACGAGAGACTCTTCTTATCACATATAAGGAAACGTATTAGCGATCACGTTACTGGCACAAAATGCCCTTTTATACTTTGACGACGAAGTAGCCTTGCATGGCAGCTAAGAGACGCTTTGCCATACTTGCCTTTCTACAGGCGGCAACAAACTGAAGCCTCAGTCGTTTCGCCTCAACTGGGCCTGGATCTCTCTGGAAAGGGAGTACTACCAGGTGGACGAGGACGCCAAGTTCCTGGAGGTGACGCTCAAACGTCGAGGATACCTGGGGGAGACGTCGTTTGTCAGTGAGTTTCACTTAGCATGACCTTTGCCATCAGGAGTGAAGTTGAAATAGTTGGATGAAAAAAGCCTTCATTTTAGACACTGCAGGTAACATTTGGACAATAACAGGTAAATATAAGGTGAAATAAAGGAAGAGAATCATGAAAATAACAATGAAATATTTCAAGAAAAAGTCTAATTTATTATTATTTTTTAATTCCGTTGTCAAACAAATTGAATAAACCAAAAAATTATTCATGATTCACTCGGAACACGCAAATGGCTTCCCCGGTAGGCATCGCCACCAGGGACGGAACTGCCGAGAAGGACAAAGACTTCCGGGGGAAATCCCAGAAGCAGGTCCAATTCAATCCGGGTCAAACCGCGGCTTCCTGGAAGGTGAAGATCTTCACCGACCAAGAGTTTGAAACATCAGAAACCTTCCAGATCCAGCTTTCCGACCCAGTCATGGCTGTACTGGAGTTCCCAGATGTTGCGACCGTGGAGATTGTGGACCCGGGAGATGGTAATATCGCAGAAATACGTTCAACCCGTTTATCGCAGAGGAAAGATCCAGACGCACTCACGAAATTCAATGATATACAATATTCCATAAGTAGTTCTTCATTTACTCTTGCTGTCAAGAAATAGGAGGACTTCATATAGCATCACAGCAGAAACGAAAAGAAGACTTGTACGGTTCTCCAAATATGGGGAAATCGTCCTTGCTTCCAGCTGCTTATTTGCGCCTCACAGTTGGAAGTTTACCGTTGAACTGGCACATACAACAACATAAAATCAAACGTATATTTAAACACCTACCTGCACATGTTCCAACAAATCCTATCATTTTGTCTAAAAAAAGTCTACTAGCTTAATGCTAACATATAATGCGAAAAGCCATAGAGAAGCTCACAGAAATTAGCATAGCTATTGTGGTAATTACAAACATTGACGTTGCTTTAAAACAGGGCTCACCAACTTTTTTGAAAGTGAGAACTACTTTATAGAGACTGTTGAATGTGAACTGCTACCAGTTTCATACACACTTTTGAAGTAGAAAATTGGCTAAAAAGTACCTTGACGTGACTTATGTGTTTAATAATTAAAACGGAATGTGAAGACGCTGATCATTTCTCACAATAATTATTTAACATGGTAGGATAAAAATAAATATGCTACACATTATTTCCATACAGCGGGGGAAATTTTTTTATGTCTTTTGCGAGACGCACATTTGGTAATGGATTTTTCTTCCCCCCCCAACACCCAAAAACAAACAAAAAAAAAAAAAAAAACAGAGTCAACCGTCTTCATTTCCCAAGCTGAATTCAAAATTGAGGAGGACATTGGAGAGCTCCTGGTACCGGTCCGACGGTCCGGAGACGCCAGTCAAGAATTCATGGTCATCTGCTCCACTCAACAAGGTAATTCTCGTAAAATTTGACTGGCAATTCCACAGCTTTTTTTTTTTGTCATAAAATTTGACTTGCAATTCCACCGCTTTTTTATTTGCATTTCTATAACTTCATTTTTTGAATATTAAGACCAAATTATATTTTTTTCTAATTTTAAAACTTTCCCATAAAATGACAAATCATAATTCTATGATGTTTCTCACATTTAGATTAACTTCTGCTCATTTTCCGATAAGTAGAACTTTTTTTTTTTTTTTTTTTTTACAGAGTATAGCTTCTGTGACTTTTTTTAAAAGAAAAAAACATAATGGAGGCAGAGGAGGAAAAAAAAGAAACGCCAAACAGACATAATAGACGATGTAGAGGTGGAATAGGGAGTGTTGGGAGACAATACAGCCTTCCTACAGAGGACAGGCTTCAAAAGCCCTCAGGGCGCCACCACATCCCATCTGCAGGTGCGCCATAATAGAGCAATGGAAAAAGGTTGGGGGGAGGAGCCAACTCAACAAAGATAGGGTTGTGTATCGCTTTTGTGTGATCGTATGGGTGTATATGCACGAGCCAGTGCACTCACACAATACGTTTGTAATATTTAATCATGAATCTCCTCCTCCAGGTACAGCCACGGGCACCATCCCCAGCTCGGTGCTGTCCTACTCGGACTACATCACGCGTGCCGACGACCATACAGGCGTGCTACGTTTCGACAAGGATGAGCGCGAGAAAGTCTGCCGCATCATCATCATCGACGACTCGCTGTACGAGGATGAGGAGAGCTTCAACGTCACCCTCAGCATGCCCATGGGGGGCCGGGTGGGCGCCTCCTTCTCCACCGCCAAGGTCACCATCCTGGCCGACAGCAACGACGGTGAGCGTTCAGATCGGAAAGTTTTGCGTCTTCTGACAAGTGGTACGATTTGCTTTTCCATTTCCACTGTAAAAGGATGCTTCTCTGTCGCCCAATCAACAGACTTTGTGTCTAGCTCCACCCCCGATTGCCAAGAATGCTAGTTCAGCTAGTTCCAACTTTGTTCACATAAAGTTATCAATTCAAATTTTGGAATTCAGTTATGGTTTTCCTCGACATTGTATAATGTTAAAGGTCAAGCTTTTTTCTCACCGTATTACATGATTTAGGCATTTGATAATTTATTGGTCAGATTTATTTTAATTTAACATTTCTTTTCAAGCTTACCAAATTCCTATTTTTTTTCGTGGAGCGTTACACCTACAATGTTTTCTCGTCCATCCATTATCCGAGCTGCTTATGTTAATCATAAGGTTTTTTTTTTTTAAATTACAAGAAAAAGTGACATTTTTCTCAATATTCAGCCATAAAGTCATCATTGTTTTTTTTTCATCTTTTCTTTCCCCCCGTGGAATTACAATTTGATGACTTTATTGTTGGGAAATTCTGACTGAAATCGCATTAAATTCCTTTTCCTCAATTATGTCCGATGAGAAAAGCGAAATATGACGAATGGCTTCACACGATGTGGCTCATGCGCGACTGCCTGCAATCCTATGACGCTCCCATTTTGCTCTTTCGGGGATCCAGAGGCGATTAATGAACCCTAAAGATGCTCGGGCGGCGTCCCGTCCACTGGCTACCCCAAAGCCTGGATTATTTCCATTCTATAACGGCTTGGTGCTGTTCCCCAGCTACCGCTTCCACGTGCGCACGTTCAGCATGTAGGAACAAGATAAGAATAGACAGGTGCTTATGTTGTTTTAGTAATTTACAAGCGTCCTGCTCGTGTGAACTCATCGGCACTGAGAGGAGCTGAGGGCAAAAGAAAGAGCATTGTACCTGACTGGCACGAACCAGAAAAAGAAGTAGTGAAGTTTGACTTTATTGTCATATTATGACCAAATTACCACAATATTAGATTAGTTTTATGTCATAGTATTGTGACTTAATCGTAAACGAAGGTTTTTAAAAAGTCAGGAAAAGTATTACAGAACAGCTGAACTTTATTTTGTTTTGCAAAGGTCATAGGTCACATTAACGGTGGAAAAAGTTTTTATCTTGCTTGATCTATTTTGTTTTTTATGTCATCAAAGCCTCCGAAGGGTGTGTAGACTGTTTAGAGCCACTATAAACGATGATTTTATCATTTTACCTCGTTCCTGCTTTCTATTTTAATTCACCAAACTGAGGAACGGACGCACTAAACCTGGAAAAATTCCTCCTTTTGTATCCACGTCTTCATCCATCCACCCTGGCTAATTTCTTGCGTTCACTTGCAGGCTTTCCCTCCCACGTAATTTCCTGGCAAGGGGGTGTTAGCACAATGGAACTTTACGTATCAATTCCCAAGAGACAAGACAAGACTTGCGGTCGGGCTCCTTGGTGGGTCTGTGTGTGTAACGGCCCACCATAAATAAATGAGATTGAGTGTTGTATTGGTTGACTTGGAGTCTGGCCAGTTTGCATTGTTGCCGTGTTTGTGCGCTTCTTCCTCCGATTGACTTTTGAGGCTTCGACGCTGCTAAATGGACACTCGGCCAGAAATGTGTTCATTTCACTTTGGGACCAGAAGTCTTCTTTGCCGTGTCAAGTCATGCATGAATTTAAAGTAAGGCACACAAGGAAAAATGGATGTCTGATACTTTAAATTATTAAAATTATGACTTTTAATAATTTATACTTCGAAATTTTAGTCTTTTAATGTTACTTTTTGTGGGAAAATTAAAACCTATCCAATATACATGTAAAAGTTCTTCTCCCATAATATTTTGGATTTATTCCCGTAATTTTTCACGCAAATTAGCAAAACTTTCATTTAAAATCACAACTCCACAATTACATTTTTTTTTTTATTGTAAAATTCCAATTTTATTCTCTTCACAACTCTATGACTTAATTCTCATAATATTATATAAGAAAGCTGCAACTTTAATTTCGTGCAAATTTTACGGCTGGTTTTGAAATTTTCAGACTCCTGATCTTGGTCTTATTTTTATCACATTGCAACTCTGTCGGGTAAACGTATACATTTTGACTGGTATATTCATCAACCTTTTTTGCAAATTAACGCTGAAAAAAATTGGTGTGTCGTATTTACTCAATTTTATTCCGTTAAATGGTTGCACAAAATAAAATCATCTAGATCAGATGATTTTTTGTAGCCTTTCTTGTAATATTTTGATGTAAACTCACCCAGTCTTTTAACTCTGCAAACATTGTTACGACTTTATCCCCCTACAGTCAAGGGTTATCGAAAAATCACCTGAGATTATTCTTAGTGTGTAGAACATTTGCTTTATACACAAGTGAAGAGAGACAAATTGATGTTCCTGGAGTTGGAATTCCAAGCACCCCCCCCCCTCCACCCCTCGACCCGTCCACATCGCTAATTAGCTTCTCCATCATCGGAAAGCAGGACAAACGGCGTTCGCTCATGTGTGAAGCACATTCGCAATCTTTCTCCAGTTGTATCGGAAAATCTTCAGGAGTATGTGAATTACTTGTTTCGCTTTACCAACTTCTATTATTGTTCCTAAAACCGTGTGGCAGCTACAAGAGGGCTCTAAGGATTGACAACTTACGCCCAAATTCAGCTTTTATAAGTGGGAGGTTTGCCAAGACGTCTTTTTAAGAGCACCTTCCTTTTTCGGAACAAAAAGGAACTTGTTAACTGGCGCCTTTTTGCTATCTATTTTCTGCGGCACTTTATTCGCACAAAAATCGATGTTGCATAATACGCATTCAAATACGCATATGAGGTTTAGATATTTTTGTCTAGTCTGGGTCACCGTCCTCACATTCCATACTGTCGTATCTGTGACTTTGAATGTGTGGGGTTTTAAAAGGTGGGAGGTCACCTAATTACTGACTTGAAAGTCAGCGATGAAATGTTTTGAGTCGGCTGTCGTTGACACTGGATAGCTGCTGCACATCTTAATTTCTTACCCAATCATTACCTTTTATTTTTAATCGTGCACTTGACAAATATAGTTCTTCCATATAGTTAAACATAGAAACTCAAACTAATGCTAACACTAATAAAAACGAAAACGAAGCATTTTTGGAAAACCCAATAAAACCCTGCTCTGAAAACTCATTAAAAACAAACAACTTAAATGAGAAAGGTCAAAATTAAATTACTAGCTTTGATGAAAAATCCCAAACTATTTTAACCCTGCTTTAAATGACACCATTTCCTGTTTTTACAGAGCCGTCGCTGTACTTCGGTGAGCCCGAGTACATGGTGGACGAGAGTTCAGGCTATGTGGAGGTGAACGTGTGGAGGACGGGCACCGATCTCTCCAAGACGGCCACCGTGACCGTCCGGTCCAGGAAGAGCGAGCCCGTCTCGGCTGAAGGTTAACCTTTGACACGACACTTGAGGATGTTGCGTTCCCACCTTGAAACTCACATCGTTATACTTTATGCAGCCGGATTGGACTACGTGGGCATCAGCCGCAACCTGGACTTTGCCCCTGGAGTGACCATGCAGACGTTCAGGGTGACCATCCTGGACGACCTGGGCCAGCCTGAGCTGGAAGGACCGGAGACCTTCGATCTGGTGTTAAGGATGCCTATGGATGCCGTGTTGGGGGAGCCCAGCAAGACCACCATCACCATCAACGATACCGTCACGGACGGTAAGTCGATCGACGGTGAACCGCCGGCTGTATTCGAATACTTAAAACTTCCCTTCAAAGTTGCAGAGGTTTAATGAGACGTAGCCAAAGCTTGAAATAAATCAATTGCAACTCCCGTACACAGCGATTGAACGTAGCTCGACGTTCAACTCTACGCTGAGTCCTTCATATGTTTTTTCCAAATAGTCCTTCTAAGTCATCTAAGTCATGTGACTTCAGTATCCCACCTCGGGTGGTGTCCTGGTATGAATCTTTCTTGACAACCTAGCTGTCATTGACTCGTTACAGTGCCAAAGGTCCAGTTCAAGGAAGGCAGCTACAAGGTGGACGAGGCCGACGGGGAGGTCACGGCAATAGTGTACCGCAGTGGAGACATCGGCATCGAGTCCACGGTGCGCTGCTACACCCGACAGGGCACTGCTCAGGTGATGATGGACTACAGCGAGAGGCCCAACACCGACGACTCCATCGTCACCTTCCTACCAGGTCGGACCACTCTTACACCCCATCGATGTGTATCTGTACTGCTATGAATGTATCTGGTGCATTAAGACACCTGTTAAATATACTTGATGGGTTTACTATTGGGGGGGGATCACAAAGCTTTCTGTATGAAAGTATATCATACGGGAATGTCTCATTTCGTGTAGTATCATAAGGTATGACTCAATCAAATAAATCCTTGAATTATGATTGCAAAAAAAAAATGTGATGAAAAGGTAATATGGTGAAGGAAATCTTTTCAAATCTAGAGTTCCAAGCACCTGAAATTAATGCAGGATAAAGAAACTTTTTTTAAGCCTCTGTACCACTCACTTCGATCGGAATTAGAATATTGGAACATTTCAGTCATGTCCGGACGTATGCGTTTGTTTGGTTTGCTTATTGAACATAAAACATATACAGTGCATTTTTGTTGCCGTCGCTTCAGAGGACGGGAGCTATAATGTTTCCATACCTCCTCATAGGCGAGTCGGAGAAGCCGTGCGTGGTCAGGTTGGAAGACGACTCGGTTCACGAGGAGGATGAGGAGTTCCGCCTGGTCCTCGGAACGCCCAAAAGCAAGTCGCCGTACGGGGCCTCGGTTGGCGAGCAGAAGGCCTTGATCAAAATCACAGATAACAAAGACAGTACGTTACAAAAACAGTTATGAACCAAACCCCTCAACCGGTAGGATCACTAGGTTCTCTTTCTCTTTCCTGTTTTAGAGCCAATCATTCGCTTCTCTGAGATCAAGTACAGCGTCCGAGAGCCGCAAGTGAAAGGCGAAGTGGGCCTCGTCAGGATCCCCATCCGGCGTGCCGGCGACACCTCCAAGGTGTCGGTGGTGAGGGTACATACCAAGGATGGCTCGGCAACCTCCGGGGAGGATTACAACCCCCTGTCGGAAGGTGAGACCACCCAATGTGCTGCCTTTGGATGTCATACCACAATGCAGGCTCACCCCTACTTACTGTGTGGACAGGATATATTCCAAAAGCCTGTTTGTCATTTTAATTTTCCATTCGCGCTTGTCCGATCTTGCAGTCTTGCAGTTTTGTAAATAAGAGGCGCGATGTGCTTGCTTCAAGCTGTTTGTCACTCGCAGTTGATGTTTACTGAACGAGGATTGAACTAAATGGTTAACAAGCACTAACTGCAAGCAAAATGCCCGGGCTGACCAAATATTGGCCCGTGCCATTCGTAAGGCAAAGAGTGGAAGACTGCACGAGCTGGCATCTGTTCGACTTAACAAAATGTGTCCGCTTCACACTTGGAGCAGTCACACAGAGAAATACATACCTAACATTTCAATATATATTTACAATACCGGGTGCTTTTAAAATATTTCAAGAAGAGATCTTCACAAGAATAAGCATGATGATGCCAACTCAGCATGATGTTAAGATAGCAACCAAACTAGTACATGATGCTTGACTGAATGTTATTTTTTTTAACTTTAGTAAATCCCAAAAGTGCTGCGTGGATAAATACTGAACCTGGTGGTGAATTGGGGTGTTAGAATGTTGCGCCACACCTTGGTCCTGTCGGTTCCATAAAAGAAACAAACACACTCTGCCTCTTTTTTGTGGAACTGTTCAATCTGCCAAACTACCAAGATTTGTATAAGCACTTACTTCATTAAAATACCTACACACACACACAAAAAAAAAAAAAACCCACGTTAGCCGAATTTTCACACTTTGTTTTTGCTGCCATCTAGTGATGGAAAGCCTGAAGCTCATACGTAAGTCAAAATTTTTGCTTGCAAGACAAACTGCCAAATTTGAAAGAGCGACATAGCATAAGTGTGTTTGCATGTCCGAAATGTTATTACATTGAATGCCTGTCGAGGTGTTGAAGCCTGACATGATTTTCCATAGACGTGGAGTTCAAAGAGGGCGACAAGGAGCATTTCGTGGAGATCGAGATTCTCTACGACGGCCAGCGGGAGATGAGGGAAGCATTCACGGTGCACATGAAGCCCGATGACAACATGGTGGCCGAGATACAGGTGACGGCGCATAGCTACAAATGCGCGAAAATAGCCCGGCAACAGCTGGCATTGCTGTCAGTGCGCCTGAACCACTATACCTTATAAAAAGCTTTGGAATGAGATGGGAGGTGGGGAAGGGGGTTAACATTAGATGGAGCTAAAAAGGGAATGTAAGCCAACGTGTAGAAATAGCCCAACGAAATTGTGACCCGAGTTCCATTCAAGGCTGCATAGTCCATGTAAAAAAAAAAAAAAAACATCTGGACCGAGATCACAGGACAGACAATTCTATGGTCCTAAAAAAAAGAAATTGGCTGTCAAAAGAAAAAAAAAAATCCAAAACTGTAAAAAAATAATTTAAAAAAATTGCAACATGACATAATGTGTTCTTTTTTGTATCGTCATGGCAACCGATTGATATCAGATTGTTGCATAACATACTGTAGTGATTTTATTATGCTGTAAATCATCATATTGTTTTGTACCATATCGCAATATACTGTATCAATCGGTATCACATTGTTAAATATCTCATCACAGTGTACTGTGATGAGATATTAATAATGTATTTTTGTGCAATTTATTGCCTTGTATAGTCTTGTTTTTCGAATTAGATTTTTTTTCCAAAATCTAAAAATTAAAATACTGTATACAGCAACTGGCAGTGGGATGTGCATTTGTTTTTCATTAAAAGCAACAGCGATTTCTTTTCTTCTCATGGAAAACCTACAAATATACAGAAGTATAACCAGATTACTTGAACAAAACTATGGGTCGCAAGACAAAATCATGAAGACAAACCCACCAAACAATTCAAAATCTGTCTGTCAACTGTGCAAATTGTAGTGAATATCAAAAGCTAAGCTTTGCTCTGACTACTTTTTTTGATAACCTTGCCTACTCCCACTAGATGAACAAAGCCATTGTGTACATCGAGGAGATGGACAGCGTGGCGGATGTCACGTTTCCGGCCGTACCCCACGTGGTTTCCCTGCTCATGTACGACGACACGTCCAAAACCAAAGACAACCCCAACCCCATCAACGGCTATCCAGTGGTGTGTGTGACGGTAAGCGGGACGCACTCTTCTTTCCAATATCGGGACACCAAGATTGTTACATTGCTAGCATGACTTGTTCATGATCGAGTAATGGCAAAAACGAAATGTAACCGGTTTGCTGTTGTATTTTTTTGGAATGTACAATCAATTAAAACATAAAAGCATGATGACCCGACTGGAATGTTGACTCCACTGTCAATGTTTACCTGCCTCGCAGGCCTGCAACCCCAAATACAACGACTTTGACAAAACGGGTTCCATCTGCTCGGCGGAGAGCATAAATGACACCCTCACCCAGTACCGTTGGCTGGTCAGTGCCCCCACCGGATCCGATGGCGTCACCAGTCCCATGAGGGAGGTGGACACCAACACCTTCTTTACCAACACCAAATCCATCACTTTGGATTCCATCTACTTCCAAGCGGGCTCCAGAATCCAGTGTGCCGCCAGGGCCTTCAATGCCAATGGGGACGCTGGTCTGGAGCTTTCCAGTCCCATCGTTGTGATCAGCAAGGAGGAAGGTAAGCGCCGTAGTAGATGCCGTGAAGAACTTAGCCCCGATTGGAGGTCGCCTAGTTTATCAACCCTAACCTCCTTGCAGGCATGTGTCAACCACGAATCCAAGGCACCGTGGGAGCCGAACCTTTCTCTGCAAAGATTCGCTACACGGGCCCGGATGACCCGGACTTTCCCAACCTCATCAAGCTGACCATCAACATGCCCCATATGGATGGTGAGTTAACGCACGCTGTACCCAAAATAGATATACTAGTCTTCCCCAACAGAAGCGAGAATAATATCAATCAAAGAATTTGTGAAATCATTTTTGGCGCCAGACTAAAAAAATCACTAGCTTCTGGCGTTCAAACATTTTCTGTCTAATCTGGAAACAAGCCTAAGCCGACCAGTACGGTCTATTTTTTCCAGCTGTTATCATTAGCTCGCGTAGCTTTTTTTTTTGTTTCCTGTAGTTGCAATGTTAGCTAAGCTAACATGTTGAGTTCGTAGCTAGACCCTGGCTAAAAAAAAAAAAAACAACAACAACAACATGCGACATACAGCATTTCCGTCGTTTTTCTGATGACAACCGCTATGTAAGCTAATAAGAGCGAAAATACCTTTTTTGTTTTGTTATTAACCTGTATGTAACTGACATTAGCATTTTTTATTTTCACACCAAAGCACGAATGCATTTCGTCTACACTTCTGGTAGTTGACTCAGTACTTCTACTTTTTGTCACACAAGTATTTGAAGAATCGTCTTCCCCAACAGAAACGAGAATAATATCAATCAAAGAATTTGTGAAAACATTTTTGGCGCCAGACTAAAAATCACTAGCTTCTGACGTTCAAACATTTTCTGTCTAATCTGGAAATACGCCTAGGCCTACCAGTACGGCCTATTTTTTTCCACCCGTTATCATTAGCTCATGTAGCTTTTTTGTTGTTTCCTGTCGTTGCAATGTTAGCTAAGCTAACATGATGAGTTAGTAGCTAGACCCCGGCTGAAAGAAAAAAAAAAACAAAAAAAACAACATGCGACATACAGCATTTCCGTTGTTTTCCTGATGACAACCGCTATGTAAGCTAATAAGACCGAAAATACCTTTTTGGTTTTGTTATTAAAACGGGTATTAGCCTGTATGTAACTGACATAAGCATTTTTCATTTTCACACCAAAGCACGAATGCGTTTAGTCTACACTTCTGGTAGTTGAATCAGTACTTCTACTTTTTGTCACACAAGTATTTGAACTTCCAACAGGCATGTTGCCGGTGATCTCCACGAGACCAATGTCCAACTTTGAGCTCACGCTAAGTCCCGACGGCACCCGTGTGGGCAACCACCGGTGCTCCAATTTACTGGATTTCAACGAAATTCAGACGGGCCACGGCTTCATCACCGATGCCACTAAAAACCCAGAGATCATCGGAGAAACGTCGCCCTACCAGTACAGCAATGCCATGCGCTCATCCAACTCTCTACGCTTCTACCGGAACCTCAACTTGGAGGCCTGCCTCTGGGAGTTCACCAGCTACTACGACATGTCAGAGTTGTTGAATGACTGCGGTGGATCCATAGGCACCGACGGACAGGTATGAGAAAAATATATAGGGAACCAAATTGACATGCAACTAAGCGATTTCAGTGCGACACCAACCATATAGTCTTTTCACAGGTAGAGGTATTTTTCAACAAATAATTCCCCATTCATTCCCGATCTGTCATTCAACTGATCGTTACCATTCAAAATTCTAAATCTTCAGCTCATACAATTCAGCTTGGGAAAGATTTCAACATGCCAGAAATTTCTACAAATGAAAATGTTGCATTTTTCACAACTAAAATTCACCCGCAAAAATTCCACCGTCAATGCCTACGGCACGTTCAATAAGACAGATTCACATCGCTCCCTTTTTGGGAAATTCAAAATCAGCTCATTCAATTCACCTTGAGCGCAATCCTCCACATTGCAAAAATTCCCGCATGCCAAAACCTTCACATTTTCACGATCATAGTCTACATTTTTCACCAAATTATTTGGGTAGGCTTGACATGCT